GTGCCTCGGAGGGCGCGGGCTGGGGGCGTCCGGCGGGCATGGGGGTGTCCGCAGGACCATTGGGGGGCAGGCTCGGCCCCCACGGCTGCCCTAGCTGGCTGCCCTGGGCCTGGGGGTTGGGGTGGGGCCAGCCCTGAGCAAGAGCATCGGGGTGGGCTGCAGGCCGGCTCCATGCCCGCCCTCCAGGCCAGCAGGACCGCCCGGCTCACACCTCTGGCCTCGGGTCCTGGGCCCCACGTGCTCAGTCTGGGCGCTAACCTGTGCTTCTCCATCCGCAGACGGGCGGCGTGGGCGGCTTCGACATCGCGGGCCTGTTGAACAACCCCAGCTTCATGAGCATGGTAACATCCTGCCTGGCCACTCCATACCCAGAGCGGGCGCCAAGGGCCCTCCGGCTGCCACGCTCGGGGTCTGCGGCCCTCCCCGCCGCACAGCCGCCCTCCTGGGTCTGCTTCCTGAGGCCTGGGTGGGCTGCGCTGTACCACATGTCCTTGGGGCGGGCGACATCGTCCCACTCGCGGTGCACTGCCCTGCCGTGGCCCGGGTGCCCATTTCCTGGGTCTTACGGGGCCTCGGGACCGTGGCTGCCCTAAAGCCCGGAGAGGAGGCCCCCAGCTCCCAGGGTGCACAGGCCCTGGCTCAGTGCCCGGCTTGGCGTGGTGTCGGTGCTCATTGCTCACGGTTAGGTCCGTGTCGCCCGTGGCAGGGCCGGGAGGTCGGGCAGACCGCGCCAGTAAAACTGGCTGCATCTGTACTCCAGCCTGTACCGGGAACCCGCCGCTGCCTGCAGGGTGCCGCCCCGCTCCCTGCTGCCTAGCGGCCTTGGTCCTGCGCAGGAAGGCCGAGGCCAGGAGCCAGCGCACCACTGAGCGCCAGAGCTGATGTGGCCACTTGGGGCCTTGGGCCTCAGGAGGTCGGATCCTGCACGGCCGGGGCGTCCCAGCCCCAGGCCTGGGAGACATGGGGCACGGGAGTGTGCACACAATCCCGGCGGGACAGGGTGGAGGAGGGGTTGCAGTGCCGCCGCGCCCCCTCCTCCCTCTCCCACTCTCGCATACCTGTGCCATGTGGCTTTTTTGTTTTAATTTGACCAGAGAGAAAGTGAGAAAGCGAAGCCACCAGGTCCAGGACTTGAACCATGGTCAGCCATGTGGGAGTCCAGTGCCCTTAACCACCACGCCACCTGCTGGCCCCGCCGTATGGCAGATTTAAAGTAACAAGGACCAGTCCGTGGCGTGGTGACTAAGGCAGGCTTACTCATAGCCAACTGCAGTTCAAGTCCCGGATCCAGCGGCCTGAGAAACAGGGCATGCCTGTGTGGCCCGGCCCCGGGAGAGCGGAGCTGGAGGGAGAGCACGCTGTGGCCGTGGGTTCCCTTTCCCTCCCTCCGTCTCTGGCAAGTGCACCTGCTCTCCGGCAAATTAAAAAGGGGGTGCCGGAGTGATGGGGCGAAGCCGGAAGCCAGCCAGGAGTCCCGAGACAGACCTGGCTGGAGGAGATGGCTGCGCGTGTCCCCGCGGTGGGCACAGCCAGCAGGAGAGGGACGCGGGGCCTCAGGGCTGGGAGGCCAGTGTGGAGCCGGCTGTGGCCGCTGGGGCCGGGCGC